GGGGACCGGACCCGCTCCTGGGCCCCGGGGAGCTGAGCGTAGGTCACCGACCGTGACGCCCCGCGCAGCCCGTGCGCCTTTCAACAGGACCCAGCGTGGCGCGCACCGTCCTCACCCCTAGTGGGCGATGTGTTGGGACCGGATTCCGCGGGCTGGGGACCCAGGGGTGTGGAGAGGCCCTAAGCCGTGGCCCTGGGCAGAAGGCTCGAGCGCGAGGAAGACGCCGGCTGCCCGGCCGTGTGACTTGGACTCCCCCCGAAAGGGCTGAGAAGGATGGATGGCGGTGGCCGCCCCGTGCTGAGCTGGATCCTCCAGCAGAGTCTGGGGGCTGCGCCCAGACGGGCCGTGGAGCGGCCAAGGCCGGCAGGGGCGTGTCTGCCTCGGACCGGACGGAGGCTGGACACGAGGGAGCCCTTGTCCAGCCAGGCCAGCGCCCCAATAGCCCTGTGTGTCCTCCGCTTCCACTCTGCCCCCCCATCCTGTCTCCTGCGTCCACTCTGCCCCCCGTCCTGTCTCCTGCGTCCACTCTGCCCCCCGTCCTGTCTCCTGCGTCCACTCTGCCCCCCATCCTGTCTCCTGCGTCCACTCTGCCCCCCATCCTGTCTCCTGCGTCCACTCTGCCCCCCATCCTGTCTCCTGTGTCCACTCTGTCCCCCATCCTGTCCGCCTCTCCCCAGGAGACAGGGTGGGGAGGGGGTCAGAGTGGAAGCAGAGGACATCCTGCCCCGCTGGTCCCTCTGGTCCCCTGGACCCTCACTCTTTGTCCCCTCCACTCCTGGAGCTGCCTCCCCCTCCCTAACAAAAAAGATACCCGAAGCTCCGCCCCCGCCGGTGACATCACTGTTTCCAATAGCAACCAAGGATTCTGCAGACCCAACTGCCAAAGCCCTCGATGGGGACAAAGCAGGGTGGTCCCCGCACCTAAGCGATGCTCTGAGCCGTGGCTCCTCCCACCACAGCCCCGCTCCTGCCCCCCCCCAGTTCTCACCACTAGGCTGACCCCCCCCCAAACACGGACACTGGGGGGCACCCTGGTGCTGAGGGGCAGGGGCTGCAGCACTTGCCAGGCTCCCTTTCAGGGGGGCTCCTTCTCTCAGGGAAGGGAAGGGGTCCCGGGGGCGAGGGGCCCACGTTGCCCCACAGCCCCACCTGCCTCTGCTCGGACCCAGGCTCACGGCGGAAAGAACCCAGTGCTGGGGGCACTCACTGCTCCTGGGGGCTCCCAGGAGGACATGTGGGGTGCACTCAGGGCTGGGTCGGTGGCCTGTGTCGAAACTTCTGTGGTCCCCGGCAGGTCANAGTGCTGGGGGCGCTCACTGCTCCTGGGGGCTCCCAGGAGGACATGTGGGGTGCACTCAGGGCTGGGTCGGTGGCCTGTGTCGAAACTTCTGTGGTCCCCGGCAGGTCAGAGCCTGGAGGCTGCATGGGGGCCCCGGACCGGCCAACTCCGGTGGTCCAGACGGAGGAAGGGGTTTGGCTGGACGGCAGCCAGAGCGCCTGCCTCCTCCGGTCCACCCACGCCTCCGCCGGGTGCTGCGGCGGCTTCTGCTGGCTCCGGGGAGGCAATTTCTAAATGTTCACAAATCTGTGAGCTGGTTGTGGCACAGCTGGGGGCCTGAAATTGGCCGTGGTGGGCGTGTTTATACCAGGGAAGCTGCCAAGCCCTGCAGCGCGGGCTCTTTTGCGGCTCCAGAGTGCGTGTCAGCTGCTTCCCTCAGGCTGCGGGAGCCCCTTGCAAGGTCCCCGACATCCAGGGATGGGGTGGAGGCTGTGCCTGCACCAGCCTGACAAGCTGCTCCAGAAGCCCTGCCCACAGGAGCTGAGAGAGATAAATGCTGCCGTTCTAAACACTAAGCTGGGGGTAGTTTGCGATGCAGCAGTAGACTAATCAATACAGGGCGCTATTCCAGAGAATGCCTCCCCTCAAAGACCTCTGAGAAGACTTCGGCGTGGAATGAGAGCAAGCCACGCAAATATCCAAGGAAGAGTGCTCCCGAAGGGCGAACGGCACGTGCAAAGGCCCCGGGACAGAGGACTGTGGCCTGGAGCAGAGTGAGGGGAAGACAGTGAGGGAGGAGGCCAGAGGTGGCGGCCAGAGCCCGTGGGACTGGCCACGCCACGCCGAGGGCTTCAGCTTTATTTCGGTGGGGCGGGAAGCCGCAGGAGGGAGTGGACGAGTGGCCATCTGGCTGCTGTGTGGGTAACCAGGGGAGGAAGGAGGGTGACCGGCCAGGAAGCTGCTGGGAGTCCACGTGCCAAGCGAGAGATGTAGAGGGGACGAGACACGGCCCGAGGCAGGTGCGGGGTCAAGAACGACGCCGAGGTTTTGTCCCGAGCAACGGAGGATGCCGGTCCGGCTTCCTGAGGATGGAAAGCGGGGTCGTGGGTTTTTCGAAGTAGGCGCCAAGATTTTGGTTTTCTTACAAAGTCCCCACAAGCTCTGACACGCTGCATTTTGATTTCCATTCCATTAGACGTTTTCTATTTCCCCCTGTGATTTCTTCTTTAATGTCTGGGTTATTTAGAAGTGTGTTGTTTAAGTTTCAAATGTTTGGAGAATTCCCGGGTATATTTATGCTATTGATTTTTAGTTTAATTCCAATATGGTCAGAGTACACGTGTGGTGTGATTTTAGACACACTGAGCCTCGGCCGGGTGGCTCAGTGGGTTGGGATGTCGTCCCGATACATCGAGGTTATGGGTTCGGTCCCTGGTCAGGGCACATGTGGGAGGCGACCGATCGATGTTTCTCTCTCACGTCAATGTTTCTCTCTCTCCCTTCCTCTCCTTCCAAAACCAATGAAAACAAATCCTTTGGTGAGGATTTAAATAAATAAATAAAAATAAGCCCGCTCGCTGGAGATGTCGTGGAAAGTCCCGTGTTTGCTGTGATGAACACCCCGTGAAACCAATGTAAACACTACAGAGAAGCAATGATGCTATGAGGATAAAGGGGGTGCAGGGGGGGAAGCCACCTACCTCCCTGAAACAGACCCAACTGGATTCTGGGACCTGTTTTCGTGGCCTGAGCTCAAATCTAGGTTCGTGGCTTCAAGGCCGCTTAATAGAAAAAGCCTCGTGTTATTCCTGACGCTGCCTGAGTCAGTGACCGGAAGAGCCCGCCCACTATCGCCATTGTCACCCTCGTGTCCAAGGTACCCAGGCTCGACCTGGGACAGAAGACACCCGGACTCGGCTGCACGCAGCTTTGTTGCACACACTTGAGTTTAATCCACAAAATCCCAGTAGAGGGGAATCTTCATATCGCAAGTTATGTCCTGGGGACTTCATGTTGTCCGTTCTTGGCCTGAAGGGGGAATTTGGAATAAACGTCAGCCCTCGGTGCCTCCTGAGACCCCCTTGTTGACAACCTGAGGTTCCCCGAGGAGCCCTCCCCAGGGCCCGGGAGCTCCAGCTCCAGCAGGTTCACCCCCGGTGCGCTCCCGGTGCCGGGGACCCAGGGCGCCCACAGACCCCAGCTGGGCAGGTGCAGGTCCGGCCGGGCCTGAGCCGCGGCACGTGCCTTGAGGGACCTCCGCCGCCCCGGTACCGGGCAGAAGCGGACTCTCCGTCCGTTCTCACCCCGTCTCTCCCGTCCCGGGCATCCTGCCGCCTGCATGACCAGCTCAGCCTGTCGCCCAGCCGGGGGGGGACGGCCCCCAGTTGGAACACAGTAGAGCTGCACACACGGGACCTCCTGAGGCCCCCACTGTCCACTGGGCTTGTCACGGGGAGAGATGGCCCCTGTGCTGTTCCCAGTAACAAGTGTCCCTCTCCGCCCCTCCCTCAGAAGTGGAAGCAACTGTCGCGGTTACAGCGCAACGTGGTTCTCTTCATCCTGGCCTTCCTGGGGCTCTGTGGGCTCCTGTCCTACGTCAGCGTGGCTGACCCGTGGAAAGGTACCTGCGCCCGCGCCTCCGACGGCTGAGGGCGGCCGGGCGGACCTGAGCTTGCCGCCCACCAGCTCAGCTCCAGGAGCCACAGGGCAGCTAGTGGGCAGGAAGCCCGGGACAGAGGTGTGGGGTGCCCGGCCCCCTTGCTGGAACAGGGGAGTTACGGCCACGTCCTGGGGCTGCCTCCCACGCGAGTCTGGGGGGGCCGGCACCATGCTTGGCCCTGGGGTTCCAGGCTCGCTCTAGCGCATCTGTGGTTTTCATCACAGGGCTGAGTGGGTGAGGGGCAGGCGCCCCGACTCCCCTGAGCTGCTTGAGGGAGGAGCGCTGAGCAGCTGCTGCGGGTGCCAGGTGCACTTTCGGGAGGAAACACAGGAAAGCATTGGGGTGGGGTGGGGGTGGGACAGGAACACAGAGGGCCGGTGCGTGCAGGTTCGGTGCTCCCTGCCATCCTGGAATGGGCTCGGGTGACCGTCCCGAGGCCTGAGG